GGAATTCTAGACTTGCAAATTGCATCCTGTTCTTTTTCTAGCTAAAGAAAGGGCTTTAATAAAAGACAAAGAACAGTGTTAAATCCATTAGAGGAATGAATTTGCAATATAACAAGTGCCAGTCATAGTAGATTATACTAAGAAATAATGTGAGTACTACACAGTTTTGTCGGATTTAAAAAATAAAAGTCTATTTGGTTTTGGTTAAAAGGAAAAWTTTTTTTCTTATTTTTTAAAGCTAATCTCCAAAAAGATACTGAGTAATCAAAACTAAGGATGAAACACTGTCTTTTTCTGCAAATCTGCTTGTTTCTGATGTTATAACGTTATAACACAATATATAGGGTTTGACCCAAGTGAGATTACTATGTATAAAATACATATATAATTTAAAATTTGTTGAATTACATCATTTACAGAATGCTTACTGGGCGCTCAGTATGTTCCCCATATGCTTTCATTACAAAGATGAATAGATATAGATTTTGCTCTGATAATTGCTTTCATGTATATGTAACAAAAATGGAAGGAACATATTAATCATGATTCAATTAGTGTCTTAAAGTACTGTTTCATGGCTTGACATCTGCTTCTGGATTTTGGAGTCTTAGGATGCAAGAAACTCCATCTTCTGTTTTCTTTTATAAAGACATCAGGTTTATAAATATTTATTTAAAATGGTCTCATTTATTTCTGTACTGTTAATGCAGACAAGTCCTGTTGTTTGAAACACTAAAAAGTATTAGGGAATTCCATAAAAATGTCTATGAAGGCTTTGTAAGGGACAAGTGGACAAGTCTGAGGAATTCCTGAGACAGGGAACCTCAAGTCAGGATTGGTGGGGTACATCATAGAAATGAATTTAAGGACAGCTCAGAGGCAAATAGATTTATTTAGGAAAGCAGAGACATATTTAAGGGAGAATGTGTTTCATTTCAAGAATGAGATGCCTTTGGGGTTTTTAGGCTCTTCTTTTAAGGAAACTTGGTAAAGGGTGGGCATAGGAGAGTATGGGGATGACCTCCATCGGTTGATCATCAGAGAGTTCATAGTGATCTGGCTATTCTCAAGATCCCTAGGTTGTGATCAATAGATAACATTGGGAAAGTATGCTATATCATAGGTTTTGGAGAAAGTACTCTTTATTGTAGATTTTGTTTAATCTGTTTTAAAAATGCACACATTAGTGAGCTCATTTACAGTGTGCAGAGCAATTTTCATAAGTGGGTGAACTTCCAGTAACTGTAAGATTGTGAGTGAAGATTTATAGATTTCTCAGAAATTTGGGAGTTCCAGGCCTGGGAGGGAGCACTGGCTTGGGAGTGAAGGTATGTGGAACTTTATCATAAGACTTGAAGATTAAAGTTATATTTCCTTGTCCTCCTTTTGTCTCCTTTCTAACTGTCTTTTATTTCTTTTCTATCCTACGTCAGTTTTGCTCAGTCATATTCCGGCCAGCCTCTGATCTACACATTTCTGCTGTATTTTGGGAAACCCAGGTTAATAATGCCCATTTCCTCCAGTGGTCAGCGGCCCTGGGCAAGACAGTAACCAGTCTATTTTTTTTTTTTAAATATTCCACCATATCCTGATGCCATTAAATATTTAAATTGAACAACAGTTCCCATTGTTTGGATGCCATGCTCACCAAGCTATCTTCTGAAAGCAATCTTCATATCATAATGCAGGCTTTACATCTAGCTTGCCTAGAGAATAGAGTGCATTTGCAACAAGATRTTCCTTGTTACTTGATTTCTTATTGTATAAAACAGTAAATTGCTGGTCTGTCTTGTATATCCACCTTTTGTGAACTTGGTTAGGATAAAGTAGCTGCCAGAGTTAGTTTGATGTGAGACACTGTCAGCTGAAGATTAGACCTTGCACCTTGGCAGACTGAGCAGGGCAGCCTGTTCTACAAGGCCCTTTGGCAGCCAGCCAGCCAGCCAGCCAACTCCCTCCAAGGCTATATCTTGAGTTCACCATACATCTTTTTTTTTTGAGTTCCATAAGCATTACTTCTGAATCATATAATTCGTAACTGATGTGTTATTTCTTTATATTTCTTCAAGAAGCATTATAAAAGATTTTGTTTATTTTTTACTGTTAACTTTTTGAAAGGAATACATAAGCTTTGAACAATTATAGTTGGATCTTGACTGTTTTTTCCTTCTAGGAATAGGCAAACCACTTTGAAAAGTCTCTTACCAGAGGTCCATCTTCTGGAGATTTCCCTGTTCATAAGTACCTGCCTGCTAGAAGAGGCAGAACAAATCAGAAAGCAGATCTTTTTTAGGTATTGYTCTTAGTTTGTTGAGAAAAGTAGTAGAACTTGTTTATTAAAGTGTGTGAAGARCAGTGTCTATGAACCTACATTTTATATGTCCAAAGTTCTCTGGAATACTACTGCAAATTATATACCTATCCCTCTTTTGAGGATTTAGGGTTCATGTTAGCATATTAAAGATGCTGGGGAGTCTTATAATAAGCAACTTGTTTAATTTTGTATAATCTGTTTCTTAAATTTACTTTAATTCCTATATTTCCAGTCTATTTTCCTCCTCTCATCCCCAAATCCCAACAACAAACATAATTTGGGAGATGCTTGCTATGTAACATTCCTGTTCCTCTTTTCCTTCTTTTGACTTTTCTACATCTGATCTTGAAACAGAGAACATAAGCCTAATGATTCTGAGATATCTGAAAACAGTCTTGCAGCATTGTCTTACAGAGCATTCAGTGAGAACAGCTTAGTCCTTAAAAATCACTTGGCCATGATAATTCTTGAGTTTAATTTTTTTATTGCTTTAAAAATAATACTCATCATTGTTAAAGAATTTAACAAATTTTTAAAAATGTAACCTATTTTGAATTTATATTAGCCATTATGGCTTTCCTATGTATTTCCTGTATATTATCTTGGAGGGCCTTAGACTAGTCTGTGAACTAGGTAGAGCAAATGCTATAATCCCTGACTGAGGGGAAAGGGACTTGAATTCGAAGTGTTCTGGTGCTATGAATAAGGCCTTATGATAAATTAACAGGAAGGCTGCAATTAGATCTCTGAATTTCTGACTCCAAGGTTCAGTAATTTCTTTTTCCACAGTTGCTTATTAGCCATACTTCATAGAGTGCATTACTTTTTGCTAACTCTATAATTTTTCCCTCATTCCTCATTTGTCTTATTCATTCATTAATGTCCATGGTATGTCAGATACAATGGTATCGTAGGGACTATTCAAAATGCTTCAGGGAAAGTTCTTGCCCAGAGGTGCTTCTAGGTAGCCTACTACCTTTGAGACTTTTTCCAAGCTTCAGTTTCCTACTTAGAGAACTGTTATAAGGACAGAATGAGAAGTGCCACTGTAAGTCCTCAGRAGAGAAAATGGGGAAGTCAATGAATAAAATACCATAAAGATCCTGATATACTGGCTTTTTTTCATGTTAAGCTAATTAAGCTGATTTGACTTGCTATAGTCAATGAGGTGCCATGAAAGACACAATCATCTTTTTGCTATAAAAAGAATTAAAATAGTCTTCAGAGGAACAAATTTATAACATCAATGGATTTAATTTCAGACAGTGAAAAGCTCAAGCAGTGCATTAAGTATAAACCCATAAGACAAAGATGGAACCTGGAGTTTTCCATGTTTAAATTATTTACTTTGAATTTACACTTGACTTGCTAGACATTAAGGAACATGAAAGATCTTTAGGTTTATTCTGTCATCCCTGGAATCTTATTCAATTCAGGTTCACATCCAGGAGCCTATATCTTCATGTAATTGAGGCATGGTGGGTATTGAAGGGTAGGTGGCAGATTTAGGGGAAAACTTTTCTGCTAAGAGTGCAGAATAAGAGTGCAGTTTTAGATGATCTCTCTTGGCAAGCTGAATCTTCTTGGGTTTGGTTTGTTATGAGCCACATCCAAGTATACAAAAGCCTCTTTAATATGTGAACTATTCTAGTTTTGGTCTAGACATGGCCTGTGGTAGGTCAGGAATGTAAAAGCCTCTTTAATAATGAACTGTTCTAATCTTTGTGGTCCAGACATGGCCTGAGGTAGGTAAGTGTCTTGGGGTCAGTGCCCACCTACAGCAAACATGAGAGTTCAGTCTGTCCCCTGCAAAACAGCCATTTTGCTATATTCTTCACTTATTCACATTATCTTCTTCAAACCAGTACTTTGGTTGGTCTAGCAGTTTCTAAAAGTTGGCACTTGAATGTCTTTAAGACAACATAAACTGGCCAGTTAACTTCCTATTGTTACCTGGCTTGATTCATATGTTTGTGTTTCCTGCCTGTTCCTACAAGCATTCATTTCATTTGAAAAGGAAATGGACCTCATCTAGTCTGGAGAAGTATGCTGCACCTTCTTGTAGCACCATCTGGAAGGACATAGAATTAAGAGTGAAAGGGGAGAGTTATGATCCCATCCAAAGAGACCGATTTTTAGCAATTTTCTCCTAAATTAGCATATGCCTATATGAATGGCTTTAAACTGATGCTTGCATGCWTATTTAATGTAACATTCATGTTTCATAGAATTTATGTGGTATATATTAAAAAGTAAGTTACTTCTTACTATTTAAATTACATTAACCCATAGGAGACTTACAATTATCAGGGGTGCAACTGTAACTATTAGCAAAATCTTATAAATTTTATTTGGTCATCAATAAATCAACAAAATGGACTGAAGTTTTGTTGTTTTGGATGTTGCTGAATATGAGTTTTTGTATGTGCCTTTATTATGTGTGGACTGCTGCTGGGACTGCTTCACTATAATTCATCCCTGGCTTTGCCAATGCGAAATTAATTTCTCTTGCTTTGAGAATAGTGCTTCTTTTTCTTTTTAACTTTGTATTATTTGTAATATGAAAAAWTTGGGTATGTTAACTGTTAGGGTAGAATTTTTCTTAGAATTRAATATTTTCAGAGTTTGTTATAAGGAATAGAGTTTTTTTCCTACCAAACAATTTGTTTTTAACATGTCGTTCCAGTTTCTGTTACTATGGCAATGACGGCAGGGACTACAACAACCTTTCCTATGAGCAACCATACCCGGGAAAGAGTGACTGTAGCCAAGCTCACATTGGAAAATTTTTACAGCAATCTAATTTTACAGCATGAAGAAAGAGAAACCAGGTATAGTAAAGGCTGGTCAAAATTTTGTTCAGTTAAATGAGTGGAATTTTGTTCAGTGCTGTGAGTGGACTGTAATCATGTTTTTCATCAATAATCTGAGTATTACAGATCCCTTTATGCTATTTTTATGTTTTCTGCACTAACAGTGCATCTGGTTATTTGTTTTATTTTCACAGAACAATTTTCTGGGGTATTCGAAGTCTTGTGCACTCAAATTCCCATAATCAATGTTTTAAGCTACAAAATTATGGTATATTAAGGGCTAGGGATGTAGCTCAGTGGTAACGTGCTTCTGTCAGTCCCCAGTACTAAAGGAAGAAAAAAGAGAGAAAGAAAGATTACTTTTGACTAAGACAACTGGAAATACTTCATAAATGGWAGTGGCATTTAAACAAGGCTCTAAAGGAAGAATACTATTTATACATATGTAAAAGGAAGGAGAAGGAGGTACAAGAGCAGGAGGAAGGATATTAGAGATAGAACAAATCACTGTCAGGTCAGGCAGTGTCCAATATAGCTCAGGCACAGGATGTGCTAGATTTCAACATCCTGGGAGCTTCAGATGCTTTGTTAATGTAGCTGTTCTCTTGAGGGTGTAAAGCCTTGAAGATTTTTGAGCAGTGACCACAAATATTTCTTTAAAAGAGAATTTTAACTGTGATACACAGAGTGGATAGACTGAGGTGGGAAATTAGAAACAAGAAAGGCTATGATGTAGTTCCAGCAAATGGAAAATTGACAAYAATAGAGAAGAACTGACATGTGAAAGATTAATAGAAAATAGTAACTATTCAAATATAAAGTGTGAGGGAAATAAGTCAATGCTGGCCCAGATATTAATGCCTATGCAAACTGAGAGGGTACAATTTTGTGGAACAGAACTAGAGAAGAGTCAGATTTTGGACAGGTTTAACTGTGGATTAGACACAGGTAAGGAAAGAATTAGTGAACTAGATGATAAAGGGAAATAAAGTATAAGCATTCAGAAGTTGATTTTAGAGAGACAAAGTAGGGAGATTTGAAAGAGAATTAAGAAACATGGAACATAGTGAGAAGAGCTGACATATTTCTAAAGTTCCTAAAGGAAGAGGGGAACAAGATTGGAGCAGACACAAGCACAAACTTCACCACTAATAGAAGTTTTTGTAGAGTTCACTACTAGTAGAAATTGCAAAAGATTCCGTTTAGTCAGAAGGAAAGTGATTACAAATAGAACATCTAAATGGCTAATGCCTGGATAAATCTCAACAACTATTGTACAGATGCTCCCCTACTTAGTGATGGTTTGACTTATGATTTTTCAGCTTTATGATTGTGTGAAAGTGACATACATTCAATAGAAATTAGACTCTGGATTTTGTATTTTGATCTTTTCCAATACTCCTTCTTGATGCTGGGTACAGCTATAGTCATCCACACTATCACAAGGTAAAACAACCAGTGCTCTGTAGTGTACTATGTTGCCATGATGTTCAGTATGCAAGTGCATTAAATGCATTTTTAGCTGATGATATTTTCAACTTATGAAGGGTTTATTGAGGTGTAGCTATATCAAAACTCGAAAGCAACTGTATAAAACCACAAAAAATGACAATCATGTCTTCTGTGTTTAATAATTAAAATATTTTCTAGTGACAGAATATAAGTCAAAGAGAAATAATTGAAATTAAAGATCTTTGTARAAAAGGAATAAAGATTAACTTCAAACTTTGACAAATTAAGTAGGTATGTTGGAATTTCTTGGGTAACCACTAAATGAATAAAAATAGTTTGTAGCTTCCAAACTAGTAGRAGGAAAAAAATGACATGAGATAAAACATCAATTCAAAAGGACTCAAAAAAAGAAAAACTGAATTACTAAAAACAAAACAAAAAAAAMCCCTGAAATGCCAAAACAGAAAGGACATAATAGGTTAGGAAATCCAAATATATCAGTAAATGTAATTAAAGTTGCTAGAAGTGATTGGGTCATCATGGGAGAGTGAATAAAGTAAAAGGGATACAAGAAAAGAAAGACCTATGTATTTTAAAAAAACAGGCACTTAAGGTTATTCTTCATAATTTTAAAAGGTCATTGTCTTTTTTTTTTGCTGAAAACTTAAAGTGATTCTGTTCCCAAAGGAAAGAATAAAAATATACGCTTTCTTTATTTGTTTGTTTGTTTTCAGAGATACGCATGAGAGTTTATTTGTCAGAGCTGACAAAGGCCATCTATAAAAAAAAAAAAGTAGATTTAACTTCATGCTATGGAAGACAAATTAGCTAGTCAGCTCATGTTTTTAAAAGCATATATTTTAAGAAAACATGTGATATATTTTTGAGACCTAATTGGATAAATGCATAAGTCTAATMAATTATTTATCAGAGCAAAGTATAAGAGTGTTTTAGAAGGAAAGTTATTTTAAAAGAGGTACCAGAGAAGTCATGGCTTTCTGTTTAGATATGGTGGAAATGGATAAGTTACTGTTATCTCTTACTAGAATAAGGAAGGATTTCATGAAGTGTAAGTCTTGGCCGGAATCTAGGGGAAGTGAGGTAGTGGTGATTTGACTTAGAATATTGCTTGTATATTGATAGTCTTTCCCAGAATAATGGTTCTATTACTCTTTTCTACAGAGAAAACTGAAAATCATTCACCAAGCAACTCTGAAGTGCGTTGCTTAATGGCAGGCACAGAATCTGATGTTAGGGGCTTAGTCCGTTCTAATGAATGGGCCCTGGGGAAAAAAAATCATTGTAATAGGCACTTCAGTAGGTGCCTATGGCAAGTTGGGGAAAGCATGTGAGTGGAGAATATGTTGTTAGGTCTCATCTTCTCATCTGTGATTTACCAACAGGCTTTAGGTACTTCTGTTATAAATTTTCCATAGGTAAAAAGAATTTATTTTAATGATGGTTTAAGAAAGTGTTTACTTTTGAATATATTATCATGAATAATAAATACCAAAAATAAGAAAAATGTTTCTGATAGTTTTCAATCAACTCTTAGATTCATTTGAGCAAATTCTGAAACATTAGTCTTATTTGGGAATACTCCAAAACTTATTAGGACAAGTCTTCCCAGATTTATATTTAGGAAAAACCAATACAATAGAAATGAAATTGTTTACTTGGAAATGAATTGCAAGATGTATCCGATAATCATCTCTCTAGTTACTTTATCCACATATTTTCCCACATCACAAATGCTTGTCTTAACTGACTTTAGGGGTGCCATTTTTTAAAAAATGAGTAACTGAACTTGGCAATTTCTAGAGAAGAAAATATTCTGAAAGTAGATCATTACATATATACATATGGTTTTCCAATTGCCAAAGAATTTTAATAGAATAAGATATACAGTTGTACTGAACATCTTTTTGTTGTAACTTTTGTTGTAACTGTTAACTCATATTAATTGTATAGATTAATGAATTTCACTGCTACATTTCCATACATATGTACATTTCCATACATATGTACATCATACTTTTGGACATCTCTTCTTGATTAGGAAAATTGAGTTTAAAATGAGGGACTAACAAGCTCATTTTGCTGAAAAGTGTTAGGACCAGGATTCAAACACAGAGATATCCATCTTAAATTTTTATACTTTTTAGCATTGTTGCCTTTTTATTCTTTTATTATAAACACTGAGAAATATTACTGATTTAGGTACATTGTACATTAGATAACAGAGTGTTTCAATAGTACAATAACCACCTTTGCCAACAGTCATTTAGGCAGGAAAGTGAAGTAAACTATAAAAGTAGAGTTTACAGCTGGGGAATGTGGCTCGGTGGTAGCACTTGCCTATCATGCATGAGGTTCAGWCCCCAGCACTGAAAAAAAGAAGTAATACTTTGTCCAATATAAGAAGCTAAATCTAAATTAATATTTTGAGAAAGAAAATTATTCTTAGTGATTATTTTGATCCAACTTGAAAGATTTTCCTAGCATGGCAATCTGAAGCAGTTAACTTGAATAAGTAAATGCTTTTCTTATAGTTAGGAACATACTTAAAATTCTAATTATTTTTTTCTTTTGAAAAGGCAGAAGAAATTAGAAGTGGCCATGGAAGAAGAAGGATTAGCAGATGAAGAGGTAATGTATTTTATTACCTGTAATTACTATATAAAAGTAACCCCATTGATTTTTTTCTCTTTTATCAATATTAGTTGATTTTTAGATTTCATCATTTGAATATGAACTTTCTTTGTTGCAATCTCAGCTGTCTTTAGAAAGAGGCAGCTCTTTTTAAAAATTCCAAAAACATACTTTATCTTCTAGATATATGAAATGAGGAAGTCAGTTCTCAAAGAGGAGTCACTTAATTGCTTAACTCAATGTTTTTTCTAAATTTTTAAAAAAGTTTTTAATAATTTTTTTAGTTGTAGATAGACACAATTATTTTATTTATTTGTATGTGGTGCTGAGGATCAAAACCAGTACCTCACATGTGCTAGGCGAGCACTCTTACCACTAAGTCACAATCCCAATCCTCTAAATTTTTTTAAAACCATTTATTTCTCTAGCCTAACACTGCTACTCGTAATTTAAGCTACTGTATGTTTCACCTCAGTAATACCTGCCTTGAAGTGGTTTCACTACCTCCTACTTGCAGTGTTTCTGCACACTGTATCCAGAGTGATTTGTTTGAAAATAGATTTGATTATATCACTGTATTGCCTAATACTCTTCATTGCACTCTTRGGAAAACTCTGTAACATTGGTGTATAAGACTTTACAAGTTGGCTTCTGCCCCTTCTCTAGCCTCATGCCTGCCTCCCTACCCCCATACCAACCATCATTGAATCATTATAATTTTCCCTCTCTCATCTTGGTCCTTGTACATACTATTTCTGCCACTTGGAACTCTTGGTTATTCCTCCACAACTCCCTTTACCCTTCAAGGAGTTTTTAGGTCTCACTTTATGCATCACTTCTATAAGGCATCATCCTACCTTCTGTCACAGCACTATTTCTGTTGTTGTGGTACCCTCAAAATACTATCTTTCCAGAGAGCAGAGACTCTATAATGTCTTATTTAGCATTATACCTTCAGAGCTGGCAGGGCTACAGTAAGTATTTGAGAAAATAAATGAACAATGGGTCTTGCCTTCAGGGAGTTTTCACATCAGGAGAGATTATGTATGTGTTTGTGTGTATATTCAAAATATGTGTACATTATAGAGCCAGAGGTGTACCTCAGTAGTAGAGCACATGCCTAGCATGCACGAGGCCCTAAATTGGATCTCCAGTTCTGCCAAAAAAAAGAGAAGAAAAATAGATACACTTTGAAAATACAGAGACTTCTTCTTTTTCCTAGTTAGGGGGCCAGAGAAGTTTTGAAGCTTAAAGAATGAGTAGAATTTTGGCTATTCTGGGTCTCTTTATTTTTCACAATAGCCAAACTGTATAACCAACCTAGATGCCCCTCAATAGATGAATGGATAAAGAAACTGTAGTATATATACACAATAGAATATTACTCAACATTAAAAGAGAATAAAATCATAGCATTTGCAGGTAAATGGATGGAGTTGGAGAATATCATGCTAAGTGAAGTAAGCCAATCTCAAAAAACCAAAGGCTGAATGTTCTCTCTCATAAGTGGATGCTGATCCATATGGGGGTGGGTGGGAAAAATGGAGGAACTGTGATTGGGCAAAGGGGAGAGAAGAGGAGARGGAGTATGGGGGCAGGAAAGATGATGGAACAAGATGGCCATCATTACCCTAGGTACATGTATGACTGCAYATATGGTGTGATGCTATATCTTGTACAACCAGAGAAATGAAAAGTTGTGCAACAATTGTGTACAATGAATCAAAATGCATTCAGCTGTCATATATACCTAATTAAAATAAATAAAKAAAGAAAAATAGAATTTACTCTTCAGATGAGGTATATACAAAATAATGAATATGTATGCAGAATAATGAGTAATAACATTTGCACTCTAAAGGGTGCATGAAGAAAATAGCAAGCTAAGTTGACAGCACCAGTGGAAAGTAAGGTTTAGAATAGTTTACTAAGAAAGGTATACTTTATTTCCTGGAATGGTAGGGAATGAATCATAATTTAGATTAATTAGCAGTTGATAATCAGAAAAGTGTCTCTATATTTAAAGAGTAAACTACCAAATGATGATTTGAAATCAACTCGTTATCTAATCTTACCTGCACCTTTCCCTCTGTGTGTAATATCTTGATTTATACAAAAGATGGTTACTTTGTTAATCACTTGATTCCATCTARAAAACTCAAATATTTTTACATTTTAAATTATTATGTATATAAAATTACTGTGATAAATATTTTAAAAGCTCATATCATTTATGCTCTTTTAATTTTAGTGAGAATGGTAATAATTTAAGTTTATATTCCAATCCAGAAASAAACAAATAAGACCCAGCTTATCTTTCCTTATTTATTATTTTTGCAGTGCTGGGCATCTAGACATACTTTGTTTGCATGTCCATCTCATAAGGACATTTTTTGTTTAGTTCCACAAAGAGATTCTTTTTTTCCCTTTTTCTAAATAATCTTCTAGTTTGTTAATAAAGACTTACCTATCACTCTTTACTGTATGAGAAACTAAGAGCTCCAGTCCAAGTAGACTTCTCCCCTGGTGACTGTCATCAGTGGTAGAAACTGTGACAAATTAGGGAATTATTGTCCAGCTAAAGAGGATTGTCATTAGAGTGTGGCCAATTTCCTGTTTTTCAAAAAGAACTAGGCATTTGGATTTTTATGTAAAATCACCTCTAGTTTTAAAGTTTTTTGGCAAATATTAGAATGTTTTAAAACAACTTGCCACCCAAATTAAATACATCTGTATGTCAAATACAATTTAACCTATTAGATATTCAGTGATTTTTTTTTTTTTTTTAACTAGTCTATAGGCACTTTTAATGAAATGGTACAATCAGGTCATATTCTGCATTCAGATTAGACAAGTTTCTGTAACTATGCCTAAATGTACCCTGTTTCATGAGCTATAAAGGGAAAGATTCAGGATTATCTTTCAGAATTCTTAAGAGGTATTCATTTATGCGACTAAAATTTTTTTAAACTCGCCTTATTACTTTTAAGGACATAATGCTATAGTGCCACCAAGTGGCCTTTAAAAAGCTATAGTCTTAAAATTTAAAACAAGCTAATTTGAAGAGTTGTCTTTTACCAGTAATTCAGGCTTTTAAAATTATTCAAAAGGTATTTTTGAACACCTACTATGTTCAAAAAAGGTTACTGGCATTGCATTTTATGTAAAAGGAAGCAAAAATAGTCTTCACTGTTGCTCTAGGATCCACTTGTGTTTTCACAATTATATAAATGTCATTTTAAGATGCATTAAACTGACTTCTAAAAGATTAAAATCACCCTGCATGATTAATTCAAATTAATACATAGGTACTAGGTTTGGATACCCTTTTGGTAAACAAAGTAATGATTATTGTATCTTTGTGTTAGTAATTTAATTTCTCTTATATTATGACTTCTTATCGAAAGAAAAAATTCTCCTTCATTGTTGCCTACTTATTTTCCATAGTATCACTGGATTTTGTAATAAGTATTTGATGTGAAAAAGGACACTAAGAAAAGMTTTTCAATTTTTACCTTTGACTTATTTTCACAGTGTCATAATTTCTACATTGTTGTGTCTGGGTAACTTCATTCAGCTGTCTGGATTGAAGACATAATCTCTTCTACTTATCTTTTTTAATATCATTTTTTATTGTTGTTGTTTATTTTTTATGTGGTGATGGGGATTGAACTCAGGGCCTCATGCATGCTAGGCAGGTGCTTTACCACTGAGCTATCTCCCCAGCCCCTCATCTGTTTATCTTAACTTTAAGAGGTATCAGAATTCCATTATATTGATGATACACATTTACATATTTCTAATTAATTGTTAACCTAATTCTTTAAAACATATATACAGGATCAGGAAGAGATACTTCAGTAGTTTTTTTTTATTTAGGAGTAATATTTCTGGTCATTTTGATCTGTCTTTCCTTCTTAGCTGAACGACTAAAAACTAGGCAGGGTTCAGTTAAAGATGAGTGATACCTTATCCCTGTTTTTATGTTTATCATCTTTTTTTTTTTTTTAAAGAGAGAGTGAGAGAGGAGAGAGAGAGAGAGAGAGAGAGTTTTTTAATATTTATTTTTTTTTAGTTCTYGGCGGACACAACATCTTTGTTGGTATGTGGTGCTGAGGATCGAACCCGGGCCGCACGYACGCCAGGCGAGCGMGCTACCGCTTGAGCCACATCCCCAGCCCAATGTTTATCATCTTTTAATATTGTAAGCACCTTTGAAACAACCTGATTATAAATTATCCTTTTAAATTATCTTTTTTCAATAGAAAAAATTACGCCGATCACAACATGCTCGCAAGGAAACAGAGTTTTTACGGCTCAAGAGGACCAGGCTTGGCTTGGATGACTTTGAGTCTCTGAAAGTTATAGGAAGAGGAGCTTTTGGAGAGGTGAGCTGCTCTGTTGAGCCACCACTGATGAAATATATGTCCTAAGATAGTTTAAAATATCTATTCAAACATATTATTCCTAAATTACCACCAATGGCAAATATCAGCTTTCTTCAAAAGAACCTGCTCTTCACTCTTGAATTAAAAGTAGTGACATGTGTGTGTGTGCGTGTGTGTGTGTGTGTATTTATTTATTTTTACTGAGGATTGATTGAATCCAGGAACACTCTACCATGGAACCACATTCCCAGCCCTTTTTATTTTTTATTTTGAGACAGGATCTCAAAATAAGTTGCCCACACTGGCCTCAACTTGTAATCCTCCTGCCTCAGCCTTCTGAGTAACTSGGATTACAGGCATGCATCAACATGTTTGGCTATAATATGTATTTTTATATTATAGGTACGGCTGGTCCAAAAAAAAGATACAGGACATATCTATGCAATGAAGATATTGAGAAAGGCTGATATGCTTGAAAAAGAACAGGTATGGATTCTTTCATACATGCATTGCAAAGAAATATCCATGTCTAAGATGGTAGGGTAGTGTTTATATTGGAGTTTTTAAAATAAATCTGTCTTAATATATAATTGATTAATTTTTGATAGCCTGTTATAGTGTTTTCCAATTATTTATTTTTTTTAATATTTTGGTGGTATTGGGGCTAAAACCCAGGGGGACTCTACCACTGAGATACATTTTCAATACTTTTTATTTGTTCTCTTTGGAAACAGGGTCTTACTAAATTACTGAGGATTTTTCCAAGTTTTTGAGACTGACCTTGAACTTAAGATCCTACTGCCTCAACCTCCTGAGTTGCTGGGATTATAGGTACACACTACCATGCCCGGCTCAATTCTAATATTTAAATTGTCTTCAAGTTTATAAATATCTATGTATTAGTTTTCTTGAGCTGCTATGGCAAAAACACTACAAGCTGGGTAGCTTATTTTCCTGTAGTTCTGGAGGCTGAATGTCCCAAGATCAAAGTTCTTATAGTATTTAGTTTCTGGTGGGGCCTCTTCTCCTGACTTGCAGAAGGCTACTTTTCACTAAGTATTCACATGGCCTTTCCTTGGTGAATGAAGGGAAGATGGGTGGTGGAGGGCCTCAGAGAATGAACACAAATACTCACATGAGAACTCCTGGCGTCTCTTCTTATAAGGACACTAACTTCACCCTTCATCCTCATTAAACCTTTTTTAGAGGGCCTAGAGGTCCTATCTCCAAATATAGTCACACTGGGGTGTTAGGACTTCACTATTACAATTTTGGGTGATTCATTCAGTTCATAACAGAATTCCTTCTGAAATACCCCCTTTTCTGATTTTGGTGGAAACAAAGAATAGTTCCCAACACTCTTAATCCTGTTGCATATCAAATTAGCAGAACTAGTTTCCTGAGAATTTACTGGGTTTACCTATTTCCAATATCTGTTCACTGCTCTTTTTCTATTCCTTGGTTCACTCTCTGTTTCCTGGGACTTARTGCAGTTCTGTGAGGTGGCCATAATGTCTGAAAACACTGATATGTTTCCATTTCATAGGTGTTCTGTATTCCCAGCCTGGATGGACACCCTGTAAAACTCTAAATTGAATACATATTCTGGTGAAGGACTCAACAATAGGAGCATAAGGAGAGATGGCCTCTTAGATTTTGTTTGTTTGTCCCCCCCCCATTCTTACTTTGTCATTGCAGCAGTAAAATATTAATTTTTATTTCACTATGACACACTTGGATTTTCACTGCATTGTTCTTTCTTCCATAGCATTTATTCAGTTATTGAGTATCTACAGTATACCAAATACCATTGTAGGTTCAGGGATACTGTGTGTGTGTGTGTGTGTGTGTGTGTGTGTGTGTGTGTGTTCGTTCAGCAGTGGTGAGGGCCTTCTGAATGCTAGGCATGTGCTTTACTCCTGAGCTACCACCCCACCCTGGGATACAATAGTTAACAAATATGATCCTTGTTCTTTTGAAACAATGGAGAGACTGCACAGACAGCTATATCAAATTGTCATGATTGATAAATATTATGCGAAAATTTCTTTAAAAGGATCAGTGATATATATGATCTGGGTTAAAGAGGAAGAATTCAGTCAGGGGAAGTTTCTCTTAGGAAGGAATATTTGATGAGAGACTGAATGATGAGAAAGAATGACATCATTAGAATAAAGGTCTCAGGAGCAAATCCAGAGACCTGAGGCAGGGATAACCTTAGTCTGCTCAGAGAGAAGGAAACCATGTGGCTAGAATTAAGTGAGGGAAAAATGATTAGAAATGAAGTGGAAAAGGTAGGCAGTAGCCAGATCACATGGGACTTTGAAAGCCATGATCTAGAATTTGGGTTTTATTCTGAGTACAATGGGATGATATTGTTTGTTTTATTTTTTCCCCGTTTAAGCTGGGCAGTAGTGTGTGTTTTTTTTTTTTTTTTTTTTTTTTTAACAACAATGAATTCATCTTTTTGCTTGCTTATAGGCAAAGCATGATTTGAAGCACAGAGACCACCCGGGAGAGTGTATCATTTCCATCCAGGATGTAGTTGTGGCTTACACTTTGGTTACAATAGTAAAGTTGAATAAAAATTAAAATAGATTAAGTGTGTGTGTGTTTGCAGGAAGAGTTAGCAGATTTTGCTCTGATGGATTATTGCAGAATGAGAGGATGGGCAGAATTTTGAGAGGAAGGGAAGAAAGAAGGACAAAGTAATGGGACAAGATGAAATTGCCTAGGGAACGAGTATAGATAGAGAAGAGGGCCTGGATCCCAGCACCACACAGAGGAGGAAACCACAAAGGAGACGGAGTATCTTGGCAAGGAGAAGTCTAACTGGAATAGCGGAAAAGAGAATGGGAAGCAACAAGTGGAGAAGTGAGTAGCGGTAAATTCTTCATGTGAAGCAGATTAAAGAATAGATTAGTAAAATGAGAGTTAGGGCTGAAAGGGTTTTTTTGTTTTTGTTTTTGTTTTTGTTTTATGACAAGAAATGTCATAGTTGGAAGAATTCATTAGAAAGGAAAAAATTGAAGATGTAGGAAAGAAAGGAGAGATAACTGCAGCAGTATGCTGGAGGACAGGACCAGAAACCCATCTAGTAAAACAGAAGAAAAGCAGAGAAATGGGAATATAGAGTGGTTGTTCTGGCATTGGGAAGTTCCAGGTTTCTGCCTGAGTACAAAGAAGCAGTCACTGGCTTGGAGTAAAGGAGGTGCAGCTTGTTGGAGGTCAAAAGAGAGAAAAGTACAAAATAGTTATCTGGAAGTGTGGGAAAGGATACTTGCTATGGCAAATGCCCACTGAGATTTGTATTCATGAATTTATGGTGAAAYCAGTTGGTAGTTGGGTGCTTTTCACCCTAGTTTCAGCTGAAGTGACAGGGTGAAAGGAACCATCCAGAGGAGAGGTTTTAGGGGACTTTGTTGATGACAATCTATGATTCCAGAGGGAAGAGGTTTGGAAGGCAAGAAAGATGGAGCTGTCAAGCTAGAGCAGAGAATTATAGATAATGATTGGAATGTAAGTTTGGGTAAAGATGATAGCTTCAGAGACTAGGAGGTACATAGGAGTCTAACTTAGCCATAATAGGATAAATCCTAGATATGGTTTTAGAGGAAGGACAAAAGATAGCAGTTAATTGAAGCTGTAGTCAAGCTGCTAGTCATGTGGCTACTGAGCACTAGAAATGTAGCCACTCTGAATTGAGATGTACTATAAATGTAAACTGCACACTAAATGAAGACTCAGGGTCAAAAATATAAAATATCTCAACAATTTTATATCAATTAGATATTTAATTTAGGAATATCAGATTATACAAACTATTACTAAAATTAATTTCACCTAGCTTTTTTCTTTTTTTTTGCTTTAATGTAGCTACTGGAAAATTTAAAATTACATGTGTGGCTTGCATTATATTTGTATTGGACAGCATGGTCTCAAATATTTTGCTAGAAGTTGAGGAGCCTCTGGACTATTATTCTTTCTTGTACAGAGGAAGTCTTACCAGCTTTGCATGCAGTCAGATTTGCATTTTGGAATTGTCCCCCACTTCCTACCTCATAAATTAATCTGCATTCTTTTACCACTGAATTTCATTTGATTTATTTTTTATTTTTTTAATTTGTTTTAATTAGTTATATGTGACAGTAGAATGCATTTATATACTTTGATATATTATACATAGACGGGATCTGATTTCTCATTTTTCTGAGTGTACATATTGAGAATCACATTTATCTTACAGTCACGTATATACATAAAGTAATAATGTCTGTTTCATTCTACTGCCCTCCCTATCCCCACATCCCTCCTCTCCCCTCCCTTCTGAATTTCATTTTAGAAAAGTTTTCCAAATCTACTCTGTATTTCAAGGTTTGTCACAGATACTGTAGTGCTAAACACCCCCAAAATCAAATCGCAGGCCTTGTGCTGCCACATCACCRTACATCATCCTTTCAAATCTTCTGGTCCCATTTGGGAAACATACCATGGAATCTAGCTGTAAGATATTTTAAAATAATCAAGCCAAGTTTATGATATAGTTCTTTTTCCTGACAACATCACATGTAGCTCCAAAAGTTCAGGGCTTTTCCTTTACTGCCCTAAAATGCTTTGTAAAAAGAAATTGGTACAGATTTTTATTATCATTTTTTTCCTTATTGAGCCAAATCCAGAGAGAAAATAGTTTTTTTTTTCATTTTCAAAATGCTTTTCTTTTTTTTCTTTTTTTT